ATTAGTAATTATGGTTTGGGGATTATGGGTACACATAAGCCTGTTTCATATTCTTCCTATTTTGTAGAAATGTGTTTTTAAAATAAACCTCAATAACAAAGAGAGGAGAAAAGCATTACACTACAGCTTCCCCCAGGCAATTACAAAATAAAGGTCAGTGTATGACTGGAAAATGGTCGTGAAAATACTCTTTGTGAAATAAAACAGTAGATGCTCTAGATATAATCATTGTGTCCATTTGTTTTCAACTTAGTTGCACATTCCAGTACTTTCCCATATAATACTTGTGTGTCAGAACAAACTGAGAAGAAAAAAGCCAACTGATAGATTGTTAAAAATATGGAATAGTTCAAAATATTAATGTAACGCTAAGGGTGACTGGGTAACAAATGGTACATTTGCTCGTTTCTCAGCCTGACATAATTAATATTCCAGGTCATGCTCAAGTTCCCATGATAGAGGGGCCGAAGGAAAGAATTCAAGAAAAAAAAATATATATATCTATTATATAACTCATTGCCTTTTTTTTTTTTTTCCTTTTGACGAGTCAGAATCATAGGCTTTAAAAAAAATCAGTGCTTTCACACCTCATTTGCCGTATTCACCACTGGGCCAGCAGTCAGCAGCCAGGCCTGATGTGAGGAGGTCAGTGAGAAGCTATTAGCAGAGTCTTCTCCTGAGAGTTCTTGGGTCTTATTGAGTTGAATGTTAGCATGACAGTACTGCAAATAACTCAGTTGTAGGCTTTTTCTTTCTTTCTTTTTTTTAAACAGTTAGCACAGATTTCCCCATAGTGTTGGTCACTCTAGAAAATTATTGCTGAAAATGAAGTCCCCAAAGCTAGCTTGGCTACTGCCCCTCTAAGTTGTGAAAAATGTGAAAACTGGAAAATATGTCACGGTCCCTTAGGGTTATTTCCACCTTTTGTGACTCGCGGCGATATGTGAAAAAAATCAACAGCAAACCATTATTCATAAGTGGCTTAGAAATTATGAAATATGTCAGCTGAGATAATAGTAGGTTTAGATTGTTTTTATCTACTTAAAGAGATAATAATGAAATGACTATAAAAATATAGTGTATTTGCTTACTGTAGGCATCGAGGGAGTGCTGTGATTGTTTTTATTGAGGTAAGTTAGCAAATGTATTAGATTAATGTCTAAAATACTGACACCTTGAAGATTTTAAGTGATAGATTTGAAATTCAATTAAAATATATTTTCTATCTATATGTGATTTAAATTGCAAAGAGAATACACATGAGGAGTTCTCCATACAGGTTGCAAAATATAATTTAAGAAAGCTATCATGTCTACTGATCGATTTGCATTTCCCATCTAGCCCATGTATACATGTGCATGCAAATGCGGAAAGAATCAAGATTCCTAATGGGGTAAATTTAGCAGCCGGTAGTAGTTATTCATGTAGACAGATTTTTTTTAAATGTGATTGAAGTATGTGTATTTTACTATTTTTAATTTGTAGGGTTGTGACAATTCTACTAATAAACTAAGACTTCAATTAATTAGATCATCACTAACCAGATGGTTTAGTTACATTCTATGTCAAAAAGACTTTTAGTGTAACATTATTATCTTTTCTCACAACAACCGTATGTTGTCATTGTAGAAAATCAACCTCAAAATCATCTAAAAAATTACTATCCACTGAAAGCTACTGTGAATATATGTGTATAAGCTTTCTTTCATTGGCATTAATTAAAGCTACCGATGTATTCACTTCATATATATTTATTGTGACAGTGAGGTAATATGAGTGTGGCATTAAAAATATTTTGTATAACTGCCCTTAACATTTTTCAGCATAATATGTTTTCTTGTATCAGTCATACCAGGGAATAAATCCAAAACAGCCAGTTCCAAAATATTTTTAGATATACTAAATGTTTTGTACTAACTTTTCTGTATAGGATAAAATTTTACTCTCAGTTATGAAAAAAAAAACTTGAGTTAGAGGAAACTCAAATGGATCTGTGATAATCTAGCTCTATACCATGATGACTTGTAAAATAAACCAACAGGGATATATGTTAAGAAAGGGAAAGGAGCCTGATCTGTAAATTCCTTGAACTCAGTCATTAAGATTTTGAAATAAACCTAAGGTGTTTTCCTCAGCTATTTATGTGGCTTTGGAAAGCACCTCTGAAATACACAGCTTGGTGGGCTTTTCTAAACTGCTCACTGTTCTTCTAAGTGAGCATTTATTTGTTTATCAGCTGTGATAAAAGAGTCGAGGTTTAAATTTTTAAAACACAGTGAAAGACACATTACCATTAATCCCCTCAGAATCCTACCCTTCATTTTCAACACATGTATTCTGTTGTTCAGTGCTTTCTTTAGGAAAATAACTGCACCATAAATACATGTTTGCAGAGACTGGAAATTCTCCCGCCCACTCGCATCCTATTGCTCCCCTCCTTTCTGCCTTGCTATCGTTTACATGTGATTTGAACCAGTACCATAAGTCTTTTTTCACAAATATCTTTAGTTAGGCTTCCATGGCTGCCTTGATGTCCTGAATGAATTCAAAATATCCGTCTTTCATGGTCATTTTGACTACAGGGAAGATACCAACTTACATGGTGACAGATATTACAAAAAGGTATATGAGGACACTCTAGTGTTTTTATGAGCCTGCCTTTCCATTGGATGGTATTTGGAAGACACACTCACTGTAGTTTTGATCACACGTCATAAAGACATGCACAAAAGGTGACTCCAGAACTACTCCAGAGATTGGAAAGTATGATGGGACAGCATGCTCTAAGATAGAAGTATTTTGAGAAGGGGATATCTTAGTTACTTTCTTGTCGGTAGGACAAAATAACATACACCCACAAGTTGAAAGAGGAGAGATCTATTTTGGCTCACAGTTTGTAGAGGTTTCAGTCATAGTTGGCTGGCTCAGAGACAGAGTGGCACGGCAGAGGGGCATTGAAGTGGAGAAGCAGACCTGGCATGGCAGGCAGGAGGTAAGTCTCCCTTCTTCCCTTTTCGTTCCATCCAGACTGCAAGACTGTTGGTTGCTGTCACACTGTACCCACACCCAGGGTCGGCCTTTCCTCTTGAGTAAATCTATCATCCACACACAGAACTGTGCTAAACCAATCAGGGTACTAAACCAGTATCACACATCCATGATCCAGCCACACCCAAAAGCCTCATCTATGAGTGCATGAGATTTTAAAATCTCATCTAGGTATAAGCCTAGGGACATCTAGGTATAAGCCTGAACAAGAAAATTAATGGCAATGTGTCTTTTACTGTAATTTTTTTGTAGTATCACACATCCATGATCCAGCCACACCCAAAAGCCTCATCTATGAGTGCATGAGATTTTAAGGGACATCTAGGTATAAACCTGAACAAGAAAATTAATGGCAATGTGTCTTTTACTGTAATTTTTTTGGGGGGGTACCAGAGATCAAACTCTGGTCCTTGCACTTGTAAAGCAGGCACTGGAAACACTGAGTTAAATCCTGGCCCCTGTACATTTTTAATTTAAACGCACATTATATATTTTGATCACTCCTTGTATTAGTGTCTGCTTTGTGACTAGCACTCTGCTAGGCTTTGGCTATAAAAATATCAGAAACAAAATGTGCCCTGTGCTCCAGCTGTTATCTTATAGGAAGCATGATACAGATAAAAACAACTCTGAAACAATGTGATAGGCACTGTGGTGGAGATAGTCCCAAATTATTAAGGAAACATTAGAGAGAAGACATTGCGTCAAGCCTGAATTGGTGTTCATGCTGCTGAAGTGTTGGATTAGACATATAAAATCTTGGTAGATAGATTTTCCAAGACTGCTATCCTGATTAATCTTAATATTTTGGAATTATTGAAGTAAATATAGGCAGGGATATTTATGGATATGAAAATGCCTAAGAGAAAAGTCCATTTTTAGGAAGAACAGGTAGACTTAGTAGATCTATTCTTTATATAGTCCAGTGTATCCACAGATGACCACATAATTCATGTTAACCTTTAAAATGTCACTTTCCCTTGCTAATATGAACATGCACAAATGTACTTATACACAGAAATGTATGTGTACATACGTATGTGTTTGTTTGCTTTTGTTTCTGTGGAAATCAAATATCATCAAAATATGCTGGTATCAAAGTGTGGTTCCATGGAGTCTGTATACTCAAATAACGTCAGATTTTCAGAAAACAGACATCTGCTAATCTTGAATTTAGCATTTGTCACACCAATGGGACTCTGCACTAGGACAGATGCTGTGCTAAGCAGGTCTAGACTGTTTTGAGGCAAGGTGTGACAATGTAGACGATAGAACTACAGGGGCTGCATCACACTACAGAGGCGCAGTGCCTGACAGTGTCAACTGTACAGGGTGTAATTTTGAGTGATAACTAATATACTTCGCATATGCGACACCACTTTGACTATCAAAGCATAAGACTTAGAATAGCTATCACTATGGTGAGTAATGGGCTGTAATTCAAATAATCAGATATTTATTCAGTGCAAACTTTGTACCCCAAAGTAGCTCAAGCATTGCACCTTTTTGCCTCCTGCAATGAAACCGTGACTTACAAGTAGGGTGAAGTACAGTAATTTATCATTAAAATACAAAGTGAGTGGCTTAAGGCCCTCTGTTACTTTTTCCTTAAATGCAAAAGCATAAATATGCAGTGTGTGGTGGACAGAAAATACAGCTCGGTGGTTTTTAACATGTTTACCATTCAATCTTGAGAGATGCCAACATTGTTGTCATAGTGTGGAGACAGAGTGAGCTATTTGTAAAGTCTTGGCAGGTGACTCTGAGGTCCACCTCTGATTAAGAAGCAGAGTGGTAGTTTACACTTGATCTTAGCCAGCAGTCTGAGAAGCAGTCGGAGTGGTTGTTTAAAAATTCCTTAAGTGTATATAAATGTACAGGGTAAACTTTATCTTCAGGTATTTTATATGAAAATCACAGATAAAAACCAAGGCTGCTTTCTTCCGGTTTAGATTCCAGGTATATACAATTCACCATTCAGAAAAGAGCCGGACCCTTGGGAGCTACGGCTGCAGAAGGCAAAGCCTCTGGTCCCTCGGAGACGGAGAGTCCAGCAGGAGCACTGCCCGGAGCTGACCGCCTGGCTGGCCTGCACCAGCGTCCGCTCTTTCCCTCGGCCCGATGGTCTGCCTCCGATCACTACGAAGCCCTGCCAGGTACTAATTAGAGCTGTAAGAACTCTGTCACTCATTTTACTCTGGCTTTTGCCCATTTTTGTTTCATTGTGGTAGGACATGCATTCATAAACTTAGCTACCACAACTGGTTTTAAGTGTGCGGTGGCATTAAGTGCTTTAAATTGTTCTGCTGCAACGGCACCATCTGACCTCTGAAGTCTTCATTTGGGAAAACCCAAACTGTATGCTGTGTAACACTCTCCACTTCCTCTCCCTCCGCCCGTCATGACACACTTTCCTTGGTACCGTGGCCTTATACTGCAGCCATGTTGTAGCACGGGTTAGGTCATTACAGGAAGGAGACTTCCTGTCCCTTCTCAGCCTGAATTCCATTGCATGTGCCCATCAGTTTGTCTGTGGACACTTGGGTTCCTGTGAATAAGGTCACTATGCATCTGGGGGTACCAAGAACACTCGATTTTTTTTTTTTTTTTTTTTTGGAGTATGTGCCTCGGAGTGAAATTCCCAGATCGCCCGGAAGCTCTATTTTAATTTTTACTGTTTTTCACATGCCACTTTCCGTTCCCATCAGCAGTGCCCGAGCATCTCTGTATCTTTGCCTGGTTTTTAAGAGCTACCCAAAAGGGTGTGACACAGTATCCCCTTGCAGGTTTGACTTGCGTTTCGCTAGTCATTCCAGTGTTAAGCATATTTTTATGTTCTTATTGGTTATTTCTGTGTCTTCTTTGAAGAAATGTCCATTCAGGCCCTTCACCTACATTTTGAGTTGCTTTTGATGTTGTTCTAGGAGTTCTCTCTATATTCTGGGTATTAATACTTTATCAGATACATGGTTTGCAAACATTTCTCACCATTCTGTGGGTAGATGTTTTTACTCTATGGATAGTGTCTTGCTATTTAAATAATTAATTTAAAAATTCTGATGAGAGGAAAATTATTTATTACAAAAAACTAATTTAAATAATAAATATGTTACTGGTAAAGTGTATTCTAAAGAACTAAGCAAATGCTTCTTTGGTGTTGAAATTTGTTGGGCTCAGTGTGAAGCTAAAAGATGGATTTTGTCTAAAACCCAGACCTTTTATGTAAAAATACTATAAAGCATTTGCTACAATCTATTTTGGATGTAAAATTGTGTATGCATTACCACATTTATTTTAATCTAGCCTCTGTTCTGATGATGATCCATATTTCCTGATATGCATACCATTTTAAGCACGAGTTGGGTTTGAGAGTTAGAGATATCCTAAAACAAAGTTAACCCCACCAGGTTTTTAGAATTTGATGGCAGAAGTGATGTCACCTTTTCCTTATTCAGTCCATTACAGAAGGTGGAAACCCTCTTTACATCCCAGGGCAGAAGACTAATGCACCAGAAAGCAGAGGTCACGGGGCTTCTAGCGACCCCGCACCCTAGACTTGAGTCAGTCTGCAGTCAGACGGCCTGCATTCTCTGCCCATAGAAATTTACCCACTTTATTGCAGTTATTTGTGATAGCTGGTGTTTCTACAATTTGTAATTATTTTTCCCTGTTCAAAACTGCTGACTGATAATTAGTATTACTAACAGATGTCTAATACTATATTATAGTAGCCATAAAAACAACTGAAAATCTGTGAGATCAATTTCTCCCTTAAACCATTTTCTGTTTTTCCTCATCTCTGTTTCCTTTGGAATCACATCTATGCCAGTATTTTAAATTACCTTGAATCTAATCTGTTTATCCAAGTGATACGCAGAAGCTACTAACTCTTCCTCTTTCTGATATACACTGACAAGCTATATTAATAACAAAACACCTGAGGCTGAGTACTTTAAAAAGAATAGAGGTTTATCTAATAACACACCGTCTGGGAGGCTGGGAGTACAACATTGAGCAGCTCTGTCTGTCTGGCCTCGGGGCAGCAGGGCAAAAACGGGAGAGGAAGGGCCAAGCACCGAGATGCCTTTACATCACAGCAGTGTTAGTCCCTCCTGGGTGACACTGTCTGAGACCCAACTCCTTCCTCCACGCCCAGCTCACAAAGACTCCGCCCCTCTCAGTGCCATTATGGTGGGGACCAAGCTTTCAGAGCCTCTGTCCTTGGTGCAAATCACATGTAAACCATGGCGTGGCAGAGAGGAGGCGAGCGACAGGATAAGAGAGTACAGGAGAATTTCCATTTGGTTTGGAAAGATGTCTTCAGAGCAGAGTTGTATTCCTCTTGAATAAGTTATACCAGTATTCTTTTTTGCTTTTTTTGGTACCTAGGATCAAACTTGGGACCTCCCACTTACAAGGCAGGCGGCAGAACCACTGAGCTAAATCCCCAGCAATGTAACAATATTCTAATTAAAGCATTGAAAATAGCTTAAATGTGAATTTAAGTACACTTTATGAATAGCTGAATGTTTACCACTTTGAGTTATACACATTGCTATTTATTTTTATTAGAACAAGTAATGGTATTTATGTAAACCATCAAAATAGACGATTAAATCTATTATTCTACAAAGAAAATACCTTTAGTACTTCTGTTGCTGTGGATTGTGTTCAGCTTTTAAATATAGAGATTAAGCACTCAGTGGTTGTTGCGGTCTCAGATATAACACCGCATTTTGAATATTTAATAACCCATGTTGCATGTTGTATTTATTGAGATGGTTATTGTTGCCACATGAGTTTTATGCAGCTTTTAGGACATTGGGAAATTATACAGTGTGCATAAAGAGGTGGAAATACCCCGGAGACCGTGTGCTCGCTTGACTACACCATGTGCTATGTGCAGCGTCAACTCTTCAGTGTATTTTATAGGTGCCTTGCAGCGCCTTCACATTTGCTTGCTGCTTTGCTTTCGTTGTACGTTTATGAGGCGGTTTCCTCTATATTTGCCTGGGTCCCTCTTCATCTCTGTTGCCACACGCTTCCCAGTCCAGCCATCGTTTCTTGCACAGCTCTGCTCCTCCACACTGCAGGTGCATGTGCTGTGCACTCACACACCTTGTGTGTTAGAAATGCATGGGTAGAAGACAGACAGACAAAAGGTGTATTTAGATATTGTATGTTTTTATGAAAATGTGTGTCTAAATGGTGAATATGTCACCTATCCATATGGAACATGTATGTGTGTATATGGACAATATATATGCATATATAGTATATAAAAATAGAAAAGTGTGCAGTTATACACCACATAGAAAAGCACATGTGTAAAGAGAGAGGAACATGCTTGTGTAGGTAATACATTTAGGGCTTTATAAATATGGGTATATGTATGAGTGCACACACTGGCAAGCTGTTTATCTAGCACTCCAGAAAATGATATCAGCTGATGTATTATCTCCTTCTCCACCCTTTTTCTTCCTTTATTCTCTTCTCATCTCTTCTCATTTTTCCTTCCTTTTCCTATCTCCTTCCTTCCTCACACCACATTCCTTCTTCTCATCCTCTAATCCTGACATTTCGGTTTCCCCTTTTTTCTTCCCCCATCTTTCTTTCCCTTTTTTTCTTTTCTTCCTTTGACTCCTTTCTTTTTCTCTATTCTTTGCTTTTCTGCCTTCCTACCTCCTTTGTTATTTTCATAGAGTGGGATTGTTTTATGTTGTTTTGTTTGATTGATCCACATTCCCTGTATGTTATCTAATTGATACAAGCATCCAATACATCACTGAGGACATTTAAAGATATGCCCAAATGTAAATAACTGAACAGAGTACTGTACTGGCCAGGTGATTTCTTCAAAGTGTAGGACAATTATACTAAGCTAAGAGCCCAAGAAGATGCATCCTAGGGATCAGTTGTTAGAAATGAACATAATAAGTAGATCTAAAGTTTGAAGCTGTTTCCAAAATCTAGGGTCACATGTTACTGGATTACCTATGGTCACGTGATCTCAATCTGTCAAAGGAAATACAAAGTAGTGAGTCTTTGCCAAAAGAGAAATTGGCTCAGTAAGGAGATGGACTGTTAAGCTCAAAGACAGGACATGAGCTGTCTAAAATACAAATACATGGGCTAGGCACTGGGAGACACAGGGAAATGGATGGCAGGAGGCCTCAGTGGTGAACCCAAAAGGCCAGTTATTTTCATTCTAGTTTGCTGCTTAAGCAATTTTTCTTTCATTTCCTAGTTTCATTGAACTGAAACTAGGATTAGATATGTGCATGTTCATGTGTCAGTAAGTTCAAAGATAGAGCACAGCCACTGAGAATACCATTCCTCTGTGTGGGCGCTGGCCTCTTCAAAGTCAGCTTGAACAATTGTCACTATTTAGTTCAGGCTGGCCTTGAGCACACTGTGCAGCCCAGGCTGGCCTCAGACTTGGGGCAGTCCTCCTGCCTCAGCCTCCCAAGTGCTGGGATTGCAGGTGTGCGCCACCATGCCTGGCTCTCTTAATCTTTTGATGCTATGACTGTTCAACCCTTGTTTTTTAAACTCTCCTGAAACTAATAAGAGTAATAATGGGAATAGTGGCTCCCTCGGCATCACATTTGTGTGTGTACTGTGCCTTGTGTAAATGCCAACAGTATTCTGTTCTCCTACAGAAGAGCAATTCTGTAACATGGATATTGTTCCACTCTTCAGATGATGAAAACAGGCTGGGAGAAATAATTTACCTCTAGTTACATATTAATTCTTTTCAACTGTAGAGAATATGAATCTGCTAACAGGCTGGGAGAAATAATTTACCTCTAGTTACATATTAATTCTTTTCAACTGTAGAGAATACGAATCTGCTAAAAAAAAAAAAAAGTATAGCTTCTTCATAGTAGACTTAGAGTCATGTTGCTGTATCTTTAAAAAGTAAAGTTCCAATAAAAATCCATTAACTACTTTCAAATATAGCAATCCTCCTGTCCAGCTGTGAAAAGTACTCGATGATACTTATTTGCCATTTGTGTTATTTACGGTCCATGACTTTTATGGTAACTGGTTCCTATTATTGGTTTCTATTAATGTAAAACATAAGTGAACATAAATGAGGCGTGAATCATTTCTTTTTATTAGCCCCACCGTCGTCACTGAGAGCTTGCCGGGTTTCCAGCTGTGCCTTGTTAGTGATAACCTATTGAAAGGAGAGATTGTGGAGAGGAAGGAGTCGGACTCGAAATCTGCATTTTCTATTACTTCTCTCTGGAATGAAAGTGGAAGAAAAAGAAAGTGATGTGTAGTTAATGGTACAACAGAATCACAAGCTGCCTCTGACTCATCGTGTGTGTGATGTGATAGCAATTAGATTGAAAGTGATGTGTAGTTAATGGTACAACAGAATCACAAGCTGCCTCTGACTCATCGTGTGTGTGTGATGTGATAGCAATTAAACAACTAGTCGATCTGGTAACTACTAACTAGACAACTAGTGGATCTAGTAACTAGTATAAGTAACTAGTGCCTTCAGAGCAGGATATATTAAGTCCTTTTGGTGTCACATGTTCATGTCATCCAGAGGTTGCTGTTGGTTACAGAGTAATGGAAAAATAGGGGTTAGAATAATAAGGAACATTAGAATACATTAAAATTTCAGAGCTTTCTACACATAGAAAGGTGGCTAATGTTTAATCTAAAAAGTGGCCTTCATTTAAAAGCTTTAATTTAATGAAAAAACCCACATGTTCTCCTATTTCTGTTTATAGATACCTCCTGGAAAGCTAGGCTCAAAGTTATTTTCTAGTATTTTTCTTAAAAGGGAGAGAATTGTATTTAAATTGTATTAGAAAAAATGTTGTTTTGAAAATTAGTAAACAGCAACTTACAAGTTTGCAGATTGCAGCATGGAAAGCTTTTCGTGTAACTCAAGAAACTTGCTGCTTTATCTAAAACATTTTTAGTTAATTTTACTCGAAATAACATTCCTTGAAGAAAAATGATACTCTTGTTTTTGATAACTTTGTATCTCCTAACTCAGAGAAGAATCAACTGCGCTTTAAAAAAATTTAGTTGCATACTTTGTGGATGTCCACTAGCCTTGGCCATCAACTTGTGGCAAAAAGTCTTCCATAGTAAGGTCTGCGTCTCGTCCCGTCTTCTCAGGGGCCCTTCCGAAATATCAACGAAGTATTAGAGCAACGCTACAAACCTTTGGAGCCCACACTGCGAGCGGCACAACCCGTGGATGAGTTGAAGCGGGCCAGAGAGGAGTTCCGACGACAAGAGCGGGTGCGAAACATCAGTGACAAAATGTGAGTTCTTCGCTTGCACACGTAGCTTTGCTGTGGTTGTATCTCTGAATTCTCTACTATTCTTTATTTCCTAATATGATAGAGGAACCTTTATTCGTGACAAATGGTAAAGCCACTCTTGACCTACTCGGAAGCAACCACTTTACAACATGGAAATACTGTAACTGAAGTCAGTGTTGATGGCAGTAGATTGGCGTGATAAAAAATGTAGTAAATACTTAAATTTTTAAAAATCTGCTACAGTAAAATACGCACCGTCATTAATCCCCCAAAAAGACTTCCGCTCACTTTGAAAACACATATTCCACTGTCTCCGCACTTCCTGAAGCAGTTCCAGAAGTCCTGTTTCCTGAGTGTCTACTTGTGCTGTTGTGGCTGCCTCAGTGACCTAAATCAGTGCAAAGCATTGACCTTTCATGGTCACTCTGACTTCGGGGAGGAGCCGAAGTCACACAGCACCGGATCTGGTGAATGAGGTGGATGAGGACACACCGTCGTCGTGTTTCAGGGCCCTGCCTCTCAGCAAGGTTCATCACATGTTTGACCACACCACCCACGGAATAGGACTTCCACAGCTGCTTCAGAAAGTGGCAATAAAGATGAGAGAATTTTAAGGAGGGGCGAACGGCAATGTGTCTTCTACTGTAATAAAATTTACTTAAACACACACCGTATGTTTCAATCACCCACTGTATAGTACTCAAAAGAACAAAAACCAAATACGCCACTACGCCCAAATGTGTATATGTACACTTCCCAAACATAGAGACAGAGTGAGCGGCGTCTTCAGGAAGTGTCAGCTGTGCATCGTGAAGGGGGTGTCCTTAATGTACACACATGGACTTATGATGCTTCTACAACGATCTCAACAAAGTGGAAATGATTTTTGGACTAAATCCCATTTGGATGCAATGATACAACCTTACATTTTGAATAAATTATGTAAAACAAAGGAGGTTGGCTCATGATGAGGGAGGTGACAGAAGAAACCGAGAATTATCTAATATCATGTAAATATTAAATTGTCAGCCTCGGTGATTGAGATCCCAGTGTCGACCTCTCTTCCCCTCGGTGCTTCCTCTCTCAAGATACTTTGTCATCTATAGAGTCATAACGTCATTTACAAATAGGTCATTTAAAATCTAGAATAGTCTTGTTTTTATTATCACTTTGTTACCTATCACACAATTATATTTGCAATGTGTCTTACAATGTCACTATTACTATTTTTATATAAAATGATAATCACATTATTGTATTATAATACAAATTAGTATAATTACAATGTAATACTTTTAGTATAATATGAAGGATTACTATAAATTCTTATATACTACTATACTACAATGTAAAATTTTGCCATTATTAGTTGTGGTTGTTTGCACAGTATGAACCAGGTGCTAATTATCATATACTATATTGTACATAATAATTTATATGAGAATAATAATGAAATACATTTAAAATTGTGTTTAGTTACATAAAGAAACTAGAGTTACCTCTTAGCTTTCACAGTGAGTTTTGGATCATTTTCTCAGTCAGATATATGTATATATATATATATATTTTTTTGTTGTTGTTGTTGTTGTTGTTGTTATATATATGTATATAATCATAAATTTCTGAAAAGACTCTTAAAAATTTCACATGAACTGACATGAAAGATAAAATCTTTATAAAATATTTTATTAGAGTTACTTGAAATGAAAACAATTACCTACAAGGTATTCAGATTTAACAATTAATTACATTAACCAATGTACAATAAATAAGAAAATAAGTAACATTTTTTCCAATTAGTTATAGGAGGTAAATTTGTTTTACCTTAGAAATTATAAAAAATTAATGCTCTGATTTAGTCTAGCAAAATATGAAACTTAGTGATAAATAATATAATAAATTAGTCAGAATTATTTTATATATTCAGTCATGCAAAGGTTTGTAAAATAACAAGATTAGTTGCTGAAATAATTCTGATGATTACTGACCATTTCATATTCCTACACAAAACACTGTATATTAAAGATACTGTATTAAACTTTCTTGATATTTTCCTGGATAAGCCTTCAAAGACCAAATATCAGTATGATCTCCAGAAGAAGAATTCAATTTACATTTTCCATAGAGCATTTATGAACATTTTTAGTCTCTATAGTTTTGCTAATGATCCTGCTTTCAGAGATGGAAACATACCTAAGTTTATCAAACCAGTAAGAAACAAAGTCAGAAATGTAAAGAAATTACCTGTAAGTTCAAAGCCATTTGTTTTTAGCAATGAGGCTAAGCAATCTGTCTTACCAATTACCCTAAAGATAATTCTACTATTAGGAAAATTGAAGCACTGATTTTTGTAGCACTTCTGAAATTACTTTGGTTTTTATATATTGATTAATGCATAATTGCACTTTGTGTGGCCAAAAATTAGGGATTTAAATTTTATATCTCTGCTGATAATAATTGTGATAGAAATTGGGAAAACAGTACGTCGTCCGATAGAGATGCATGCGTTTTTAATTCAGAGGTTCTAGAACCACATTTCCAATTTTACCTGTGAGGAGTTAAAGGCAGCTTGTTTATCACTATCCTGTAAACTCATTCGTGAACCCCCTGTATAAACCTTTTATTTCTAATCTTATGGCTTAAAGGGTAGCATTACATCTGAGGGTTTGATATATTTAGTGATTTTGTTTCCATACCATCATGAAAATGCCACTGTGTGTTGGTAGAAGGAATTTAAGCGTTGGAACTAGACCTGCTTCTGCTGAAATGTTGGCTCCCTGACACCACAGCAGTGTGGTACTTAGGAAAGTACTTCAGCCTCATCAATCCCCCATTCCCTGTTTGTATGGAAGAAAGAAATGTTTCCATAAGAGTGCAATGAGGGTCAAATGAAATAAAGAATATAAAGTGCCAAGAACACAGGAAGGTCTTAATCAAAGGTAAATTATTATATACTTCTTATTTGCTACAAGCATCATAATTGCATATAAGACATCAAAGAAGGGAGAGGAAATCACAGATTCCAAAGATAGTCTGGATATCCTCCATTAAGCTTGAGAACCAAAATTAAGGAGGATCACAAGCAAAGCTGTCCGTGAGCCACAGTGTACAGACTTCACCAGGACTCCACCTTAGGCTACAAGACAGCCCCGCAGAGTGTAATTCTCAGCTAAGCCTGATACAGTGATGTACCGGGAACTGGGAAGCTTAAATATCAGAAAGCTGTTATAGTCCTAGGCTTCTGCAGGCCAGCAGTCAGAGGTCAAGGTGTTTGTAGGCTTGGTTTCTTCTCAGCGTTGTGAGAAGGAACCTGTTCACACCTTTCTCCCAGCTTCTGCTTCTGTGCGGAAGTATTTGGCTTTCCTTGGCTCACAGAGGGGGCCTGCTTGTCTCTGCCTTCATCTTCGCATGGGTTCTCCCTGTGTGCCTGTCTGTGCACAGGCTTTCCTTTCTCGTGAGGGCACCGGCCATGTCCCACCTGGGCCCACCTTGCTCCAGTGTGACTCGTCTCTACTTAGTATGTCTGCGGTGACCTGTTTCTAAGTAAAGTCACCTTCCAAGGCACTGGGATCAGGACTTTGACACAGCAGTTTGGGGAGAGCAGTGTTCCTACCCATGACCGTAGTTCATTTCTAGGTAACTAACATCTAGGTAACAGGCTAATAGGTGTTATCTGCTGTTTACCTGTGTTCTGCAAGATAAAAACAGAGCAGTAATAATTTACACAGAGTATGGACTACAGAGGTTTATCTGGAAGTAATTTTAAAACTTTTCTTTTTGTTCTTATCCCATTTTCTTATGCTTTCTTGAAAAAGCAATTTTTCTTATTCATATGTTTATCTGTAAGAAGCTAGGAAATTAAATGCTTAGTAATTGTCAGAAATCCTTTCTGTGGCAAGCTGTCACCCAGATATTGTGCAAAATAAGAGTACTGAGGAACAAATGTTCAAAGAGTTCTAGGCTCTAGGGATACAATGGTGAATGCAGTGAGGTCTCTAGCCTCATAGGATGTTGTAGTTTGAGACCCAACTAGAAATCCTAATGCAACTCTAAGAATTACTGCGTGCTTCATAAATCAGTTGTACGTTATTACAATTTTTTGTATTGGGAATCGAAGCCAGGACCTTCTCACTGAGGCACATCCCCAGCCCTTTTTTTTGAGACAGGGTTTCATTAAGGCATGCAGTTCCATCCTGGAATCACAGGCCTGCACCACCAGGCAGGCTCGACGATGTATTGTTTTAAATACAGAGTATTTTCTGCTCTCTGATGATTTACAGAAATGTCCTTCCTTCCTTCCTCCCTTCTACACTTTTTCCTGGCTTTCTTCTTTCTGTAGATAAGCTTTGCCTGACAACTTCTTAACTGACACTTCCAAGCCACTGATTCCATTTAATCCTCTAAGATCTTGCCCCTCCAGTGCAGAATAATATTCTCTTCTTGACTTGGGTGTGCACTGCAGAGCCACGGTCCCCCACTCCCGGAGGTGGGGTCACCTCTTCCCCGTCTCCAGCATTACTTGGGCCCCACCAGGCCTCAGGTCCCACCATCCTACCTCTTAAATACCCATTCTGTTCTTCCTCTGCTGTCTTAATTTAGGCACTTTGAACTTCTTACTGTAGTTTCCATAAAAAGGCCCTCTGTCTCATCGTCCCAGTCTTATGCCCACTCGGTGCCTTTCACCAAAGCAACACTCCAGAAGTTCAGCGATGCTGTCGTTTCAGTCACTTTTCTAAGAACAGATTTTAATTCCCGTTGAATGAGATAGGTCCTTTCAGTTCTGGCCCAGCCTCGGCTCTGCAATGAGTCATTGCCATGAGGTCCGAGCCGTTCTCGTTCTTCGGTGTCCCCACTTCTCTCCTTTTCCGAATTTCCTCCTCCCTCAGTTGACTCAATCTTCTCAGATTCACTAAAAACTACATAAAAGGTGTTGTGCTTACTTTCTAAAAAATTGATACCATAGCACATATTTGTTGTAAAAATCTTAAACATTACACAGT